CATTACCGCTGCCGCTCCGGCCTTCTTCTTCCTCCTCTTTTTCCTCTGGCAAACTCTCCTTTTCTCTCTCACTCTTTCTCTCCCTCTCTCTCGAGGCGTCCTCGAGCGAGAGGAAGATCTCGAAGGAGAAGAGGTTTCTGCTCGGTTCCTTTGGTTTCTCGCGTCCATCGGCACCAACAACCCTCGCTCAACGACTCTCGACAACTTTGAACTCCGATGCTCGAAAGTCCTCCTTTCCTTACCTCCACGGCCCATTACCAAACCGGCACAGATGCTTAACCCGTGAAACGTTCTCCGGATATTAAAGAAAAGGAAAAAAAGATCTTCCAATACGACGATACGAAAAATACGAAGAGAAGGATTTTCATTCTCCCCCCTCCTTTCGTATACACGTATATACGATGCGAGGGGGAAAACGATGGAAAAGCACGGCGTTGTATGTACGCTCGGCGTACGTACCTCGGCAACGTATAGAGGATCGCGCGCTCGACGACCCTTCTGGATCGTGAGCCGTGTGACTCACACGGAGAACCGGCTCGATCGCGCGTCGGACCGCTCGGCGGCAGCCGGGTAAATTACAGGCTCGACCGTATTTTGCGTTGTTTTGTTGTTTTTCAACGCGCCGAAAGGAAATGAGCGAGCAAACGCGTCACGCCACCCCGAACCTGCTAATTTCTATTCATATTTTATGGCTATTAATTTCTTCACTGTTACACTCGCTCCTTCTCTCCCTATTTCCCCTCCCCCTCCTCCAAACGCTCCTTCTCTCCTCCTCGAATCCTCTTCTTACACCCGGTATTTCGCCAACGTACGTTCGCCCTCCCTCCCTCTCTCTCTCTCTCTCTGCCTTTTCTCCCCTTTCTTCTTCCTCCTCCTCTTATTCTTCTTCTTCTCTTCTCGTTTTTCACCTCGCTTTCCACCTCGCCGCTGGAATTCGAATTTTCAACGCGTGCGTGTGCGTGCCGCGTGTGTATGCGTGCGTGTGAGAAAGAGAGAGAGCGAACAGAGGGAAAAGGGAAGATTTTTCGTTTTTATGCGCGCGCGATAGCCGCGTCGCTCGATCGACCGACTACCTTCGACCATCACTGTGGGGTGTAACCTATTATTATCTACCACTTACCTAATGCCCTGTGTCAGCCTCGGGGTAGGCGGAGAATAACAGGCTCCCCCGGCTCGCTAATATCGCGGCGGACCGTTTTCGTTTCGCGCTCTACGTATCGAAACGGGATGACCGAAACTTTTCGTTTCGACACCGCGATCCCTCGCTTTTCTTCTCTTTTCTCTCTCTTTCTTTCTCTCTTTCTCTGTCTCTCGCTCGCTCGAACGTCGAGAGATGGCGTGAGAGGGGGGAGGAAAAAAAGTTTATTGCGATTATTCCTCGCTTTTTTTCCCCGTATCGAGAAGAAGAAGGAAAAGAGAAAGAGAGGAAAATCTCTCTCTCTCTCTCTATGTCTTTCGCTCGCTCGAACATAACGAAATGGCATGAGAGGGGGGAGGAAAAAAAGTTTATAGCGATTATTCCTCGCTTTTTTTCCCCGTATCGAGAAGAAGAAGGAAAAGAGAAAGAGAGGAAAATCTCTCTCTCTCTCTCTCTCTGTCTTTCACTCGCTCGAACGTGGCGAAATGGCATGGGAGGGGGGAGGAAAAAAAGTTTATAGCGATTATTCTAGCAATTCTTCGCTTTTTTTCCCCGTATCGAGAAGAAGAAGGAAAAGAGAAAGAGAGGAAAATCTCTCTCTCTCTCTCTCTCTCTCTATGTCTTTCGCTCGCTCGAACATGGCGAAATGGCATGGGAGGGGGGAGGAAAAAAAGTTTATAGCGATTATTCTAGCAATTCTTCGCTTTTTTTCCCCGTATCGAGAAGAAGAAGGAAAAGAGAAAGAGAGGAAAATCTTTCTCTCTCTATCTTTCGCTCGTTCGAACATGGAGAGATGGCGTGGTAGGAGGGAGGAAAAAAAGTTTATAGTTTATAGACGGGGGTTGCGATGCTCGAAGGGCGTATTCGTGGACACTTTAACGGAGAGAGGGGAGGGGAGGATAGAACACGAAGCGGTGGCCTCTAATTAGAACGTTAGCGAGCGTAACCGCGCCATTAAGCGTGGAAAACGGCGGGACTCGTCGGATCGACGAGGAATATTTATCGGTGTAACGATTAGAGAAGGAGGAAGAGGAGGAGAGGGGCGGTGGAGCGCGAATACGAGCTAGATACGAGACTCGCCTCGGGCCCCCTCCCTCCCTCCCTCCCTCCCTCTCGAACCACTGTAATTAGGCCTTTTATTGTCTGTACATAAGGAAGCTTTATGAAAACATTAAGGATATAATTCAAGGCCGGGAGGCGCGCCGTGACTCGGCCAACGCCAGGGTTAACGCGTGTGGAGATAACGCGCCGCGTCATTTCCGCTTCGCGTATATACGCGCACACAGGTGCAACGTCACCTCCAACCGTGGTACATCGCGGCCGCGTACGTATCGACGCCGATATTTCA